GTGTGTGTTAGGCAGCGCCTATACTTGCAGAGCAGCTGTGCCCCACAAGAGAGTCTGAAGGAAGCAACGGCAGAGAGAGGCAGATAGCACACACGCAAATTACTCATATCATCACACACACACACACGCAGCCCGCGGAATGGGTGCACTCAACCACAACACAAGCAGAACAAAACAAAAAGCCGAAGCGTGGGACGACCAGCGCACACACACTCTCATTCCTCCCGTAAAGCAAAACACACACACACAGGGAGAGAGAGAGAGAGGTCGCCCACTCAATGCAATAAAAACAAAACAGAAACAGTTACGGTGCTCCGCCCATGCAGCCAGGCAGGACGGCAGCGGTGCGTGTCGTGCAAAAGAGAGCACCAACAGGCCTGCATGGGTGTGCATGCATATATACAATGGGCACATTATTGTGTGTGCCTCGTGGGGTGAGGTGAGGGCGAGAGTCCATGCAAGGGGACACACACACAGAGAGAGAAGGACGAGTGTGTGTGTGGGCGGTGCACGGCTCTCTCTCCCTCACTCTCACGCGGCCACCACCGCAGCAGCAGCCGCACACACAACAACAAGAAGAAGCAAAAGAGGGGAGGTGGTGTGGGAGACCGCGGTGCTGCTGTCGCTGTCGCCAGGTGTCGTCGTACCATTTATTCGGGCGGTGGTGAGTGGTATTGCTGTTTGTGGTGCTGCTTCGGTGTCTGTGGGAGCCGGGTGGGTATCACTACCTTCAAGATCTTCGTGTGATTCATTCGGGTTGGGCCGTTGAACATTGGCAGTATTCTCATCCGCCGTACTCCGGGCTTCACCACCGCTACTTGTGGAGTTTGATGATGCTGTTGTTTCCTCCTGATTGGTGGCAGGTGCATTCTCCGTCACATTCTCTGTGGCTGTGGCTTGAACTTTTGGCTCTGCCACAATATCCTCTGAGGGATCTTCCGGTGGTTCGACCGTCGTTTCTGTTTGTGAAGATGAGTTTTCATGCTTTTGATGTGTCAAAGTCTGTGCATCGTTTAATCCTTTTTGGCTTGCGTCTCCTTCTGGAGCTACGTGGGGTGTTTTTCGTCCAGGCAGTTTTACTTCCGGTGTTTGTGTTGTTGCCAATGTTGTTGGTTGTGCTGTTGATACTGGTGGTGGCGGTCCTTCCTCTTTTTTTTCCTCTTTGCGTGTCTTGGGTTCCGTGTTATCTTTTTCTTTCAATTCCTCCTCTACTTGAGGTGAATGCGACTCCTTTACTGGTAGGGGCTCCTTTGCGGGCGTCTCTTTTTTCTCTTCCACCTTTATTCTTTTGGTACTGTCATTTATTCTACCACTGTTATTCTCTTCTTCAGAAGAGTTTTTTCTTCTCTTCGGCATCATCCT